TGAACCTTAGTATATTTCAAGAGGAATGTATTTTCTCTTTTATTAATCATAAGCAATGTTGGGTGTATCTAACATATGTGTGATTTTGTTTGTATTCTACGTTTTGTGTTTATGTTAATCTGTTTGGAAAAGCTATTATAAAAAATGTTAAGTAGCAATATAGCGAGATTATTTACCTAATAAAAAAAATCTAAAAAGGAAGCTTTGTTAAGGTGTTCAGTGAACACTCTGAACCATTCGACGCCTCGCCTCTGGTAATGACTCTCTATATAACGTGTATTCCGGTAATGATCAAAAAAAATTTTAAATTGCCGCATCATTCGTCGTATAACTGTCTGTTTAATATAGTCCTTAATGCTTAAATAATATTATATAGTATATATTAGGCGTTTTCGGTAGCTCGCAAGTGCAGCAAAAAACGCACGCTGACCTATATTCGCTAAGCGAGACATTGACATCACTGTTGCAATCTGTCAAATGTTTTGCTTTCACAAACAGCAAATCTTGCATATATGCACATAAATCAAGCAAACTACATTTTTTATAAAAATAAATAATTAATACAAAATTGAAAATTAAAATGAACACAAAATTAAAAGGAATGGTAAGAATGATGAATATTTCAAAACAAAACACTGAAATTTTTCATTTTTTCCCAATTTTCAAATTTATGAAATTTTTGAATTTTGTTTAAAGTTTTGTTACATATGTTTACTATATTCGTTGAAATTGCGATGCTAAAACTTTTTTAATGACTGGTTAAAGTGTTTGGCCAGTAAACAACTATTGGCCTAGATAGAGAAAATAGTATTGTTGTTTTGCATACATTTCAGTCAGTCAACTTGCTGTTTTTTGCCACACTTGCAAGCCACCGAAAGTGCTTATTATAGAGTATAGTGGTTTCTTTGGTATGGATTTTAGTGGTAACATAAAAAAACTTCTGGTAATAATGCAATAATTGATGACAATTTATTAAAATTTTAGATCAATGCATAGTTTGAGTTTATTTTAATATTAAAATCTTCTTACATTTTTAAATAAATTATAGACTCTTCAAGCTAGCTTTGTTTTATTGCAATAAGTGATCAATAGCCCATTGCAGCTGTGCCGTTAATTACAATTAATAGTATTTATTCTAAAAGATATTTGAGTTAAGGTAATAGTCTGGCATCACTTCAATTTTTTTTTTGTTAGTTTCTCTCTCTTTCATCAAAATGACATTTCCACATTTTTTTTTTAAATTGTGCGTCGATATCACTAAAAAGTGGAGAAATATCGGAACAAAATAATATATTAAAAAAATTGTGAAAATATTTTTAATTTTATAGCTGTTAGTAAACTATTATATAAATTTCGTAGAAGTGTGAAGTGAATGCTCACAAAACTAAAAATAGTATGGAAGAAGATTGGAGGCTTGTGTGCCGAACTTGTCTCGCGTCAGACGCTGATTTTTACAATCTGAATGCGCCACTTTCAATGGATGTTGATGATGATGAAAAAATTACACATATGGAATGTTTACGATTTTGTACGCGCCTAGATGATCAAGCACTCTTTCCAATTTATATATGCGCTCAGTGCAGTTCTTCGTTACAAGTGTCTTATAGGTTCATACAAAATGCCTTGCGTTCACATACCATATTATCTGAAAAAATACTCCCTTTGGAAAACTCAACGAAAGAAAAACTGACTAATGTATGCGCGCCATAAAAATGATTTATTAAAAATTTGTGATTTGATTAATGTGTTTTTTGCTTTTTTCTTTAGGATTTAGCAAATGATTCTGCAACAGAAAATGAGATGCGCTTTCGTTGTAAAATATGTTCTCTGAAGGTTTCAAACAAAAAAAGTCTAAAGGAACACGTTAAATCGCATCTAGGTACGTTTTGCTGTTATACATATCATACGCTAAATATTCGTTCTCTTTCGGTTCTTTCTTCAAATGTTTTCGCTTGTTTGTAAACACAACTGTTTTTGTTGTAATTGATATTTGCAATTTATAATTTGTATTTTGAGAGTTTCGAAATTCGAGTTTAAAACATTTTAAATATTTTGTTGTTAGTAATATATTCTGTAGAATTTTTTTTAATATTCATATTATATAGAGTAAAGAAAAATAATAAGGTAAATAAAATGATGAATCACGTGCAACAAATATGGGCGCCAAAATATTCTTATTAGGATGCGTAATTACAAAATATATTTATATATATTTATTTATAAATATATATATATGAATATGTATTTAAATATGTTATATATTTTATAAACATATAATAAACAAACATAATATATACATATATATAATGTATATAATATATATATATATATATATATATGTATATATATATATATCATAAACATATATAAATATTTTTTTAAATGTATATAGTTATATTGTAAATGGGTTCTTATAGCCTTACTTCATAAAGAAATGTTCCATGAGGTATACAAGATGTGTTACAGGCTATCAAGTAAACATCCAAAACTTTAACATGGTGAAACCAATTGCTTTATAGTTTTAGTCATAAACGATTCAATTTTATTCTTTAAATACGATTCAGACCGTAAACATTAGTCAGAATGTAGATAATTCGTTGTATATATTTCATAGCTGGTATATAAAGTGAAATATCAAAATGGGTATTAAAATTGAAAATGTCTATTTAGACTTCATTAGTTTAATTTAAATTCTTAAATAAATGATGTTAAAGATTATTCTCAATTTCTTTTTTTTTAGTGCATTCAGCTGTCACTTTGGTAGTATTTTCTATACTCCCTTAATTTGAAAATTATTTTTCTTGTTTTTTTTGTTTTGGATTTTTTTTTGTTGTGTATCCCATGAAAATCTAAATTCAATGTTGTGAGCTAAACCGAATTCATTAAATTATTATTTATATAAATCTCGAAGTAACGAAGCCGTTAAACTATTTAACAGTGTATTTTTCATAGTAACTATTTGTTTAAAAAAAATTTAGCTTATGTTTCTACACATTTTATTATGATGTAGTAACATGCCAAATGATAACTTTGCTAACTAATGTCTGATTTAAATGACAATTCCTTATCAATTTATTAATGACAATTAGTAAGGAAATTGCTAAAAATTTATTCAAAAACCTATGAAGTTTTCCTAACTATTTTATATAACCAAGCTATAAGAAACAAGCTATAAATTGACAGCATCAGCTAAGTGTGTATATTAAATTACTATTAATATATAGCAATTTAATTATTTGGGATAATTATCTTTATCAATATTTTATATTTACAGATATCATTTCATTCAGCTGCCAACTGTGTGATTTCGAAACAAAAAAACGAAGTTTGTTATGTGAACATTATGAGATAATACATGGCTGTAAGGCCAAAAGAGAAGAATTAAAACCGAAAACAAACTTTGAAGCCGCAAATTCTTCACAAACAGATAATCAAATAGTCGAAGTTTATAAAGAAGTAAGTGATATAGAAAATTTAACTACAGCCACGTTACCAGAACAACAAATAGAACTGCAATATTCAACAATACCTGAAGAATGGGATGCGACACAAATAGCAAACGTTTTACAGGACAATACAACCCAAATTCAACAAATTTCTAATAATACACAAATACATCCAACACAGATTAATTTGCATCAAATTAGTACGGAACAACAGTTTCAGACGCAACTATTACCGCAACAATTTGCAACAAATATTGACGCAGCACAACTGTCCAATGTTAGTGAATACAATATAGGTAACGACTTGACCATTGGAAATGAATTTGTTGTCATGGCTGATGGCACTATGGAGGAAGTTATGAGCAATGGTAAGATATATGATATATTACACGATCTATAAGAAAATAAATGTATTATTGATTGAATATTTCCTTAGGCGTAGTCATTGAGTACATAGATGCAGTTGATGGAAGTGTTACTTTGGACAATAACTTAGTACTGAATAATCTTTTACAAGTGGGAACTAATGATGGCATGGGCATGGACGTTGATGATATTATTATTGAAGAGAATGTTGCATCAGAAATAGCTGAAGGTAAGTAACATAGTTTCATTTTACAACATACAATTTGTTTATAAATGCTTTTTTTTAGAAAATACTAATTTTAACTCATTGTTAACACAACCAACAATAATTAACATGTCGAACATTAGCAAATCTCATTGTAAAATCTGTTTGCAACCCTTTAATACTGAAGATGATCTCAAAGTCCATTTGCTTACGCATAATGGTAAGAAGATTAGGGTCATTTATGTATTGTTTTTCAGTAGTAACAGTTGGCTCTATCCTGATAAATTTATAAATATAAATAACGATAGGATTTATATAGATAAAATTATCTCTAGTGAAATGATTTAACTTTATATATATATGTTATCGATTCTGAAAATGAGAAAGGAAACAATGTTTTTTTGTCACAAATGAATTTTAATTCCGAATGAAAATTAATTTTTATTATTTTGAGACATTGAGATAGATTGAGATTTAAACTATTATTCTGTGGTTACCAATCCAGGTTTTGGAAAGTTTGAACTATTTGGCTGTTTCTTTACTTCAAGTGACATTGATTTTTAGAAGTTTATTGAGAAAACACACAAAAGACTACATAATGGCATAACTATTATACCACAACGT